CATGGAACTGTGTGCTTTGAGTTTGTATGCAGAAAGAATCTAGCTCGATTAGCTAATCGGTGGGAAAATGAACCTGAAATATCACCAGATCCGCCTCCCGAACCTTCCTCTGCTCGGCGAGTATGTCGCTGGACAGTGACCCCTTCTTGTAGGCTTCATACACTTCCACCCCGTAACTGAAGTACTCGGGAGTCGAGAGGTCACCTGCAAAGGAACGGACCTGGCGTTCTTGCCCCCGGGGGTGTCGGCCCACTCCAGCCCACCCCTCAGCACTGTGTTCTCTGCACTCTGCCAAGCGCAGTCGGTCATTCCCTGAGGCCTGACCAGCTGCGGCCCCTGGGGGTCGGGCTATGGAAGTGAGAGCAGCAGCCGCCCTGCCCTTAAGGCTGGGGCCTCCCAGTGCAGTAGAAGTGTGTTGGGAGCTACAGGAGGCCTCGCTCCTCAGGAGCTCAGCCCACGCTGCTGCCAGACACCCAACAGGATGCACGTTTCTCGTTCTGGGGTGTGAAGCAAGCATGGCAGTGGCCCAAGGCAGTGCCAGCTCTGCCGGGGTGGCCGAGCACACGTGTTCCCGGAGAAGGGCTTTGCGGACTGGGTTTTGAGGACGGAGCAGGAGTTCGCCAGGGAGCCTAAAACACTGGACATCATGGGAGAAAGACGCAGAGAGAGTGGGATGTTCCTGGACCTGGACAGCTGGGAACGGGGCCCTGCCCCCCCCCCACCCACCAGGAGGAAGGGGGAAAAGGCCAGCGCGCTGCAGGTGACCGGCCTTGAGAGCCGAGTCAGGTCTTGGAGTCTCTCGCTGAGGAGCTTAAGTGTCCTCTGCACTTGGAGAGCCCCAGGGCTTAGGCAGGAGAGGGCTCTCTAGGCCAGACAGACATCAGAGCTATAGGAGAAAGGCTGACATGCAGATCAGCCTGGGGGCCTGGGGCTGCCTCGCCAAAGAGTCCAAGTGAAGCTGGCAAGTCCTGAGGTGAGGTGAGGGTCCCCTGGGCGTCTGCCCCTGTGGGGGGCAGGTGTCAAGTTTGTCTGTCTCTGAGGAACAGAGTGTGGGACACATGTCAGAGGTGTCTGCTTTTTCACCCCAGCCACCTCCACTGACACATTTTCATGGTAGTTTGTGGTGCTTCTGTTAGGGGAAAGGAAAGGAAAGGATGTTCCGGAGCAAACTGCACAGACACACTTTCTGGGCTCCACCCCACCCAGACACAGGAAGGACAAATCCCTGCATCACCCAAGGGCGGATTGCTGAGACCTGAGGGTGGAGTTAAGCAGACGTGTTGGATATAAAACCGGACATGTGGGATTTGGGGGGGCCCTTGGCCTCAGGGCTTGAGGCTTGTCTCGTGGCTTTTCGCTGGCTTTCAGTGGGGGTCCAGCTCAGCAGAACTGGCTGCATTAACCAACTTCTCTCTCTTCCCCTGAGTTACTCACTTCCCTTGCTCTTGTGAAAACAAACCCATTGGTAACCTTCCTGAGCGTGCCTGCAGCTGGATCTCTTAAGTCCCTGTAAGCGAAGGGGTGAGGACCCAGAGGCAGGCATTCAGGGAGCCTGTCACACTTGTTCACTCCAAGTCAGTAGACCTCATAGCCCCCTGCGTCCGCAGTCCCTGCCCTCTGCTCACTGAGCGGAGGCAGTTGCCTGACTGAACAAGGGGAAGAGAGGACGCCACTGGGCCTCGCGGGCAGAAGCTGGCACAGAGGACGTGAGCGAGCCACGTGCTGGCAGAGGGCGGAGGCCAGACTGCAGCACCTGCAGGAGCCGGCGGAGAAGTGACAGCCTGAGGACCCCATACGTGTCTCCACAGAGCTGGGAGGCAGGAAGAAAAACTCCTCATGCAAATGCAAAGAGGGTGCAGCTCACTCAGGAGGAGAGAAAGGCAACGGTCAGGGGGTGTGCAACGGGGCAAGTGGGGGGGGGGGTGGCGAGGTGACGACCGTTAAAAAGAAAAACATCACCACAAAGAAGAAAGTCTCAGAAAGCCGCCGCCGCCGCCCCGGCCCGCGGCGTCTCTCGGGGCCTCACCCACGATGTCCTGCCTCGTGGCCCGGGGCTCGAAGTCCATGGCGTACAAGTCGGACACTGTGACCACGCAGCCCTGCCGGCTCAGCTCCCGCTCCGCCGCCGTCTTCAGGGCGCCGCTGAAAGAGCGGGGTTCCTGGTGGGCGTACACGATGAGCACCTTCTTACCTGCGTCGGCAGAGACACGATGAGCACCTTCTTACCTGCGCGCGAGGTGCGCCAGGCGGCCGACGCGAGGGGGCGCCCCAGCCCCGCGCCCCCCACAACGAGCATGTCAAGGATGCGGCCATATCCGGGCTCCCCGCTGCTGGGTTTACCGACACGGGCGGCGGGGGCCCAGTCACGACCCCACCAGTGTGACCCCGCAAGGTTCTCTGAAAGCCCCATCTGGCTCCCCAGGTGAGGGGGGCAGCGGGTCCCCCAGCACCGGCCGTGTCCCGGCTCTTTCTCAGCTCCCGACGGGTGCCGCTGCTTCCCGCCTCCCCGCCGACAGGAGATGGAGACCCGGGCCCCAAGTCTCAGGAGGGCCGCCAGGGTCCACGCAGAGCCCCCGTTGAGGACAAGAGGCTCTAGGGCGAGCGGGGTGCAGGGGTTCTGTGGCTCGTGAAAACCCACCGTGTGGGACGCTGTGGCTTGGGAGACACACTCTGAGCAGAGGATGGAGAGGGATGCTGAAACACAGGAAACTGGGGCCCTCCAGCAGCGCGACGCTAACCACAGCTGCTTCAGCCGCTTCGGCACAAGTTCGATCCCCGCCAGGGAGCTGACCCACATGGCTGGGCAGACCTCTCCTGACCCATGGCCGCCCCCTCAGCAGTGTGCTTCAGAGATCTGCCTGTTCTGCTCCTCGCTCTGTCTCTGGTGAAGCCTCTCACTACCACTGGCATGTACCCCAGTTCTGGATACACAAATAAATAAATCTTTATTAAAAAAAAAAAAAAAACAGACATCTCCTCACAAGAATTAGGGGACAAGGCCCCACAAAACAATGGCTGTATCTTGAACTTCCACAGGAAGCGCGAGAGGAAAGGGCAGGCCGCTCTCTGAAAGAAATAATGGCTGAAAACTTCCCAGCCATGGGAAGGAAACGGGCACCCAGGTCCAAGAACCACGGAGAATTCCTAACAAAGTCACCCCATGGAGACCTTCACCAAGACACAACAGAATTAGAAGTAAGTAGTACAGGTAAAAGGGCATCACGAAAGCAGCGTAGGAGAAAGCACTTGCTGCCTTCAAAGGCACCCCCTATACCCCCTCACTGCCCCCCATAAGGCTCAAGGCAGATTTTTCATAAGAAACTTCACAGACCAAAAGAGATATATTCAAAATGCCGAAAGATTTAAAACACTCAGCCAAGAATACCTTACAGGCCACGGTTATCACTCAGATCTGAAAGAGAAATAAGGAGCTTCCCCAGGCCAACACAAGCTAAAGGAGGTCTTCAGCAGTACCCTGGTCTGAGAGGATGCAGGAAAGGAACTTTCTTTAGAAACTATAAAGTGACCCTAAGAGGTAAGAAGAAAACACAGGAAGGGAAACATGTCATGTATAAAAGTAAATATGCAGGGGTATAATGGACCAGGCGAGAAAATAACAAAAATAATGAACAACCATATGCCAGAGACATTTTGCGGGGGTGGAGTGGGGAATGGGATCAAAAACGGGGGGGGGGGGGGGGGGGGGGGGGGAAGAAAACGGGGGGGGGGGGGGGGAAGTGCACGGGATTATGGTGATGGCACACGGGTGACTTGGTGATGGGAAACCAGCGGGGCTACAATTGAGATGGAAAAAGAAATGTACAAAATGATGTAAAAATAAACTTTTGTAATAAAAAATAAATAAAATGTTCATCATAAAAAAAAAAGTAAATAAGTAGGTAACGGGTTGGTGACTGTGGACCTCTAGTGGGTCCAGGGCGGGGCGCACCTGTAAGGGCGAGCCAGAGAGCACCGCTATGTCCAGCATGCAGTGAGTCTTCACTGTGCAGCGAGCTCTTAATATCCTCCGCAGGAACAAGCTGAAACAGTAGCATACTGACTGACCCTGTCTGGACAGTCTCAAGCAGGAGCAACAGCGTGCTGACTGACTCTCTGTGTCTGCTGTTCTCACTCTGGAACACCGCGTCCAGACACTTCTGCTGATAAGCCCTTTGGCCATCTTTCTCAGACGTGGCTGCTTGTTCGCATGACCTATTTTCTCACAACCTTGGAGCGCAGACCCGGCTCTCGGCTCTCGAGAGCGTCCCCCAAGGTCACCCACCTTCCGCCTTCTGGTCGCTAAGGCCTGATGCCAGTCAAGGCGTGCAAGAGTGCTGGCAACAGTGGCATAAAGAAAATATAAATGGTAACAGACAAAAAAGACAGTGTTGATGAAAGCGTAGTAATCAGTTAGAGCAAACATAAAACCAAGAATTGAAGAAGTGCAATAAAAAATATAAGCCAGGGCCTCCCTAGTGCCTAGGGGGTAACACCCTTCCTGAACTTAGCTTAAGACCTGAGCTCAGCCCCCGCCGGGGAGCCGACTCGCAGGGGCAGCGAGCCTACTGCTCCCCTCAGCAGTGGATTTAAGTCCATCTGCCTATTTTTCTCTCCACTCTGTCTCTGGTGAATCTTCTCATTGCTCCGCTCTGGCCTGAACCCCAGTTCTGTATGCATACATAAATACATAAATCTTTTCAAAAAAGATAAGAAACGAATCCAAATCTGATACTAAAGAAAGCTATCAAACTACAAGAGAACAAAAGAAAAAAAGAAGAGAGAAACTATTAAAAACAGCCAGAAAACAGATCCAAAACAGCAACGAACCATACGTACCAAGGATCACCTTCAGAATAAATGGACTAAATCCTCCAGTGAAAAAGGCATAGAGTAGCTGATTGGCAAAACACCAAAACCACTGTCACTGTCTCTAAGAGACACACTCCAGACGAGAGGACGCTGCCTGAGAACAAGATTGAACAAGACTGTCTGTGTAAATGGAAACAGAAAGAAGGTTGGGGTGGCTGTAGCCCCTCAGACAGACTACTTCAAACAAAGACGGTAATAAAGCACACAGGTGGACTTTCTCCCATGAGAAAGGGCGAATCCACCAAAGGATGGAAAAATTAGGGGCACCAACATGTAAAAAGCAAGAATTAACTGACCTAACAAGAGATCCTCGCAGATGGTGGAAGGGGGAAGAGTGTCCTGAATGAACTCTGCAGGTACAGGTTCTGTGGCCTTTGCCCCTGCCTCCGACACCAGAACTACAAATCCCATCAGTACCACACAGCACATGGGGCCTGAGGGTGCAGTTGAGCAGCCGTGTCTGATGTAAACCCAGACTTGTGGGTTTTGGGGGGCTCCTGGCCTCGTGGCTCGTGGCTTGTCTTTTCACCAGTCTCCAGTGTGCTCCTGGGGGCCAGCAGAACTGGTAGGACACATTAACCAACTCCTTGCTCGCTCGCTCTCTCACCCTGAGTCATTCATTTCCCTTCCTCTTGTAAGTAAACCCACATTAACCTTTCTCTGTTTGTCTGCAGTTGAATCGGTAAGTACCTTGAAGCGTACAGCTGAGGACACACAGTCAGGCAGCCCAGTCCGCACCGGGGTCATGTGCTGACTTCCGGGCAGTGCTGGTCTACCTCGGGTGGGCACAGGTAACACCTAAGGTGAAAATGTCTGCACTCCTGATGGGAAGTTTTTGGTTCAGGTTCCCAGGGAGGAAACATGAACTATGTTAGTTAGAAGCAAAAAGTTCTGGAGCACTGAACTGAGTACAAAGGTTGACCTCCATTAATGCTTATTGATTAGATTAACTTCTCAAAGTCTCTATCATGGCGACTCTACTTGGGGGAGCAGGGAAGGTGGATACAAATGGAATCATCTTCACCAACGGTTCTAACTGGGGATCGGTGGGGGAGGGGGGTTGACAGATATTGCCTCCTGGAGTTCAAGAGTCTGGAGATATTTGTGGTGCCATGCTGGGGAGGGTGAGCAGGGGAGATGCGACCAGCATCTTGTTGATAGAGACCAGAATGCTGAGTAGCAGCTCTACTTACCACACACCGGTCTGCCCTCCACGAAAGGCCTGTCTGGCCCTAACGTCAGTCGTGCTGAGGCTGAGAAACCCTAATCAACAATACATTGTGTGAAAAGGAGGCTGGTTTTTATGTGCTGAATTCCAAGGATTTTCATGTTATTCTGACGAGCAGGAGAAATGGCGGACTAGTGTGTGTGAGCAAGAACTGAAGATGGAGCCCCTTGAGTCTTCACCCACAGCTACTCCTGTGCTCACTGACTCACTAGCCACGGGCAGGCAACACTGAATGTCAATCCAGTCAACGATGACCCTATGGTGGACGGGGGGGACACAGAGTACTGGCAAGTCCAGGTGTGTGGCTGACTGCCTCACCTGGCTAGGCCCAGGTGCAGGTACACTCTGTGATGGTCACACAACAACAAAACCACATGACAATGTATTCTCTGCACAGAGCTGAGCCTTCAGCCCCAGGTGACTGTATTTACTGAGCACCTGCTATGTCTTGGAGCCATTCCAGAGCCTGGAGGCAGAGCAAAGACCAGCTGAACAGGGCCCTGACTTTTGAGGGGCTTCTCTCCTGGGGGTCTGAAATGGACAGCAAGACATGTGAGAAAATATAAACAAGGTGATTCCAGTTAGGGATCCAGGTTGTATGCAAGTTTTATACACCTCAGTGTTCGTTGGATTTTTTTTTTATAACAACATGCTCAACTCTCATTTAAAAATTTTGCCCCCAAACAGATGATTGGATCAAGAAGATGTGGTGTATATACACAACGGAATATTACTCAGCCATCAAAAAGACACACTCACGTCATTGACAGCAACATGGATGGAGCTGGAAGGGATTGTGCTCAGTCAAATTGGACAGAAAGAAAAAGAAAAATATCGGATGGTTTCACTTATAGGAGGAATGCAGGGGAACCAAGTGAGGGATCAGGGGAAAAGAGTAATTATAATAAAGTAACAACCAAAATCAACAAGCAACTGTAAACCAGAGACAGTGGAGAGGGGGGGAAGGAAGGGAGGAAGGAGAGTCAAAACAAGGTGGGAGCGGCACAAGGGACTGCGGTGGTGGCGCACAGGTGACTTGGTGGTGGAGTATCATGGGGACGACACCCAAGAGGACAAGGCGCACACTGTATAAAAGTGAAAAACGATGTAAAAAAGTGAAAAATACTCTACATAAAATTTTCACATTTTTGAAAAATTTAACTCCCCTCACAGCCAACAGTCACCTGCCATGGTCTCGGAAGATGGGGCGTCTCTCTCTGCACACTGCCAAGTGGAGGGTGCGCTGTTGATCCGGGGTGGCTTTCAGGTGTGGGGGGCTGTTCTCAGTGGCCCCAGCAGTCGGGCAGAGGAGACACCTGAGGGAAATGGGGGACACCGCGGTGAGGGCCCCGTGCCAACTCCAGGCCTCGTGAAGGCTGTGCAAACCCGTCAGGAAAAGGCTGCTCAAGAGAGGCAAGGGGTCCCCTGGAGCACACGCCCGGTGGACAATCGGCCGCACGTACAGTCAGTAAACCCTGCACACAGGTAGCTGCGGAGAAGCCCTGGGAGACGGGTCAGTCGGTACGGGGAGTCCTGCCCCTCTGTCCCTCCGCTCTCCCCTCCAGGCAGCCAAGGGAGCTGGGCAGGCTGGAGGGGCCCTCAGGGCGGGGGGAGCCCCACACGGGGCTCTAAACAGGAGGGCCTCCTGGGCCCTGGCAGCCGCCCTTGCAAGCCAGCTTCATTCTTTCAGGGACAAGGTGCCTCCGGCAAGCCTGCTCCACTGCAGGCTTGGAGCTTGGCGGCCTGTCAGAGCACCGGGGCAGGAGAAGGGAAAGGATAGGGCAGGGATGGAGCTTATCCGAGACTGGCGGCTGGGGCAGGGGCGCGCCTGGCACTCTCGGGTGGGTGGGTGCGCTGCAAGTCTCTGGGCGGCCGGACCACCCACCCCTGCCTCGTGGAGAGCGGGGGAGGAGGTCACCCCAGACTGCATGGCCTGGGGGGAGAAAGGACAAGAGGGATTTACCCTTGGCTAGGGCTGAGCTGGGGACTTAGAGGGCAAAGGGAGCCACGGGCTCTCATCAGACAGGGGTGAGCCCCCCAGGACCCCCAGACCCACGCGAGCTGGAGTCCTTCCCTCTGTGCCTGAGCTGCTACGGGCACAGCAAGGAACCGTCTCTCTGGCTCCCCAGCGCCCCTGCTCCTGGTCTTCAGATCAGCCCTGAATTGGGTGGGGTGTCCATGTGCCCAGCTGTGACACAGCTATGCAACTTCTACAGAGCGACAAATTCTAGACAGAAGGGGAAACCCAGAACTTCTGTTGCGCACCGATGTTACGACCTCCCTTTTTTGTGCGACCGTAATATCAAAATATTCTGAACAACCATCAGCTGACAACTGGAGGCCTCAGCGTCCTAAGCTGCGGCCAGGCCCAGGCAAGCTGCCCCAGGGCGGGAAATTCCTCTGTCTGCTGAGACTAAAGGGGAGCCCCTGGGGAGATAAGACCCCAGGGCATAAAGACTCCTGGGAAGCTTCCTTGTTTTTGTTTTGTTTTGTTTTGTTTTGTTTTTAAAAAGCAAATCTGAGATAAGACTCCCAGAGCATAAGGACTCATGGACAACTTTTTAGCCTTGTTTACACAGGCGTTGCTTAATGCACAACAGTACAACTTCTACTTAATTTAGTCCTTTTAAATAATCACTAACTACCCTCTACTAGCCTTAAATTACCCTTTTCTTGAACAAACACTAACTACCCTCTGCGAGCCTTAAATTAGCCATTAGACAGTCACTGATAACACTGCTCACACAATTTACTCTTTCCCTAAGACCCCTAATAACCTTTTGCTAGTAGCTCATCCTTTCCCAGACCCCTCTTCCCTGGAGTTAGAGTAAAGCATCTGTACACATGACAATTAACACAAACATGTATAATTTAGCATGTCATAAAATGTTAGGAAGAAAATACTTTGTTCCCCTTGGCCTTGAGAACGTTTTTGACAATTTATGGCATCTCTCATTAACTCTCCCTATGCGTTACTGTAGCTAATACGTGCTACACAGTATAAGACCTGTGAGGGAATGAGCAGGAAGACCTGCACCCAACTCCCACTCCAGTGTCTTCCTCACACCTGCTCCCTTTTCCCCTTCCCGCTTTAGGGCTCTGCCTGTCTTGTCTCCCCGACCCACCCCCCACAACTCAATAGTTGGGGTTGGTCCCCAACACATCTGGAGATTGCATTCCCAGCAGAGGGCGCAGGAAACATCTTTAGGGCTGGCTCAGCTGGAGGAGGTGGGGGTGCCATCCAGCCTTCGCCCCAGCCTTTCTCCGAGCCCAGCAACAGCTTTGACTCAGTCAGTTAGTCACCCCACCGAGAGTAAAGTCTGAAAGCCCCCTGGACTCTGAGGCGTTCCTGGAACTGTGGGTTGGTTCAGGATTGCCAAACTCAGTTTCCTTCCAGGAGAGATCAAACTGTGGGTTGTGCGAAAGCTGCTGACCCTGTAACTCGCAGTGAGAGCGCCCATTTCCTAACCAGCTGAGATTCCATTCAGTCGGGTGCTGGCTTGCTGGCTTGTGGGGAGGCAGGGGGCTCGCCATCTGGCCAGTTGCTCCACCAGGTGCTCCACCAGGGTGGGAGCACACAGGTGAGAGTAGAGCTTTATACTCTTGAAGGGTGGACACAAGCAGGCAGATAAAGAACGCAACTGTGGAATGCTAGAGGGTGATGAGTACTAGTAATCATGCTGCATAGCAGGGATGGGATAAGAAAATCAAGAGTAGGTTTGTTATTTCATTTTTAAAAAGCTGGCCCAGGGAGGTGTCTCTGAACAGAGGTTGAATGATGTCAGTGAGTCCACTCAGGCAATCTGGGGGCACAGAGGTCCAGGCAGAGGGAATAAATACTAAGTGTGACACTTAAGGAGGAAACTGGCATGGAGTATCCGAGAAACATCAAGAAAGTCTGTCAGATTGACTGGTGGTTAAAAAAGATGGGTGGACAGGATCTGCAGGGCAGGGACAAGGATTTTACTCTAAGTCTAACAGAAAGGCACTGTCCTTTAAACAGGAGGATGATATG